TATATGTATGAGCACATCTGCCTTGTATATAACTATGTATGCTTTGAGTAGGAGCATGTATGCTCTTGCATGAGAATATGGGTATTAATTATATATATGTATATATATATATATATATATCCAAGGCTACCGCTGGCGTTGGCCACTTTCGCTAAATGCGATAAATAAATGACAGTAACTTTTAGTAGTCTGGCCAGTGCATTCATTGTGTCGAATATGATCTACGAGCCTCTCCCTGACAGCATCTGGATACATACCCATACATTGATGGCACATATCCACATGTTGGGGCAGAGTACTTATATATATGCGTGTATGCGACACAACAATGCACACCAACACAAACAATTCCTGTATAGATCTACACACACATAGATGTACACACACATGGGCAGCACGATGCAGCTACGCACAGTGCACACACACACACATAGATGTACACACACATGGGCAGCACGATGCAGCTACGCACAGGAGTTGCCTGCCGAGTCGTTCACGCTCGTTATGATCAGGAATTCCACAGCAAGTGACTTACTGGGATAATCACTTTGAAGGCACCATTGCACGTCAGCACGCTTTTAGATTAATGTCACCATACCAGCCTGCTGAGGGACCGGAAGCCAGAACACAAACTTTGAACTTTGAATGATATGTGTATCAGCACATATCTCAATGTGTGTTAACTGTGACTTATTCACTTGTGTTGAGTGCGAGACTCACTCACCTGAGTTGAAGGTATCTGTCGTTAGTGGAAGACCGACCTGAGCAGCCGCTATTAGCTTCAGTGCAATGTAGAACTGGCTGCGTCCAAAATGACCCAGTCTCTTTGCTCCACATATCTCAAGAATCTGAAACACATCAAACATGCTTTGTATCAAGCACTTTATGGCTCCAAGGATCCATATGTCATCGTCGTCATCAGTTTCTCCCTGGCCAAATATGTCTGTGAGGTGGTAAATTTATTTTTGATGTGTTTGTGCATTTTGAGGTCCTGGCAAAGCGAGCACCGCAGGTGCTCTCCCAGTTAGGGGGGACCGGGGGCATGCCCCCCGAAATTTCTTTAAAAAAATGGTGCAATTTGGTGCATTCTAAGCTATTTTGGTACATTATAGACACTGTTCTAACTTCTATGGAAAAACAGTGATTTTCGTCAGTGAGGCGGTTTTGGACAAATTTCTGTGTGGCGGCTGAGAATTTGAGTGAGGAGGCCCGCCTCTCTCGTGTCAATGCAGGGTAGACTGGTTCCCGGCCCCCTTGGTTCTGCATGACCGAGCCCCACTAGCATGAACGAGCTTGGGAGTGGCGTAGTGGGCCGGGTACCAGCCTAAATGCAGGGGAAACACTGGTCATAATGATAACCAAACCCCTAACAGTATCCTACTATTGATGTCATCATTACAGGCAAAACGTCCTAAAAATTAAAAATACATTACACTCTTCAGTGCAACCTAGGTTAGTTTAGGTAACATGGTAGGTTAGTTTAGGTAACATGGTAGTACAATCTGTTGTCCTCTTGGCGTATGTGACAGAGAGAGAGCGAGAGACAGAGAGAGCAAGAGCGAGATTGTGTCCCGGATAGACTTCACTATCTCATCCTGTGTCTTTGTCTTCCTCTTTTTTTCTCATTCTTCTTCCTTGTTTTTGACTCTGCGCTACACTCTACCGTGGTATAAATCCGGAACACAATCTCACACACTCTCGCTCTCTCTATCTCTCTCTGTTACATACTCCAAGAGGACTATAGTTTGTACATGTGTACCACATTACCTAAACTAACCTACGTATTGCACCACGATATGCAGATAAGCTAACCAACAACTCTAGGCTGAACCTTAGTTATATGTGAACAAAGCAACTACACGCGCAAGCAGGGAAATGCTGCCTTCATTGTATGTCAGCTGTAAGAGTCACATGTTCGATACTGTCCTAAAGAACAATCGATCAGAACAGCCCGACATGCGTAACCGCCACAATATATTCACAGTACACCATCAAGTCGCAGTC